CATTTCCCATGACTTCCCAAAGATGATTACAAAACCACATTGAGATTAAAAATGTCTTATTTTTCTCAAGAGACTGCACCATATCAGATCTAATGAATTTTATCATCATAATTCTGACAGAATTTAAGCTTGAGAAACTACTGTCAGAATACTAAGAATTATTTTTCTGTAATGTTTTAACTCAATAATTTAGGATGATGAGCTAATCTCAGGACTGACCCAACTATAACTCTGCCTTCTGGCAACATTCAATAATTTATTAAAATACTTAAGTGTAAGACCTGGTGCACTCAAGTGGAAATGTAGAGAGAAAATGGTTTTATTATTGTTTCTGGAAGAACTGCTACTATTACTTAGACTAGTATAGGGCTCTTGGGAGTTGAGTCACTTCCTCCGAGGCTCAAACATATTAATGGAGTTTTAGTTTCTTGTCTTGTCCTCTTATTACCATCTTTTAGGTTACTGTTTTAGAACTAATTTGGAAGGTGGTGAATAAGGCTGGTTAGTTATCTATTAGGAGTGCGTATGAAGGCATAGAGTAGGTTTGTCATCTTGGCAGCTACTGCTTTAAAATATTTTTAAATTTTTATGTACATGCAAGCAGTGGTATGTGCTTTAATACACATACAGAAGCAAAATTACAGATGTGTATGCTATATGGAGAAAAAATATATTCAGTGCAACTCAAGGAATTACACATGCGTATGATACTGAGACGTAGCTATTTTGGTTTTTTTTTTTAAACAGACTATAGCTATTGTATTTGGGAATTATGAATAGGATTTTATCCTTTTATCTGCCCAACAATAAAGCTCAAGTTGTTTTTAATGAGCATAAGATAGTGATGTTTATATAAGCAGTGTCTAGTTCTGTAGGCACAACCATAAATATTAGGTACCTACGTAATGAATGCTGATTTTTGGCTCAAGCAGCTAATATGCCCCTTTAGAGCTTGGGCAGAAAAGCTCTAGCAAATTTTATTGTGGCACTTTAAGAGGCTGTGATCCTATAGCTACGTCAAAAGAGGAAAAGTGATAATTCCTCAGCTCTTTCCAGGTAAAGCCTTTCATTTTAGCTCAGACTGGATGAAAGTGGATTTTAAGGTGCTGGACTGCAAATTAGACTGGGGAGGAGCAGGTACATGTTCTGTTGTCTTTGAACAGAACCAATTCGCCAACAGAACCACTGGAGGCAAAATTTTAAACCATGGCAGCAAGATTTACTGGAATTTCTCAAAGCTGCATTTTTGCCTGCAGGCTTCCAATAAAACCAGAGGCCAAGTCAAATGCCCCGAAAACTGTTGCTTATGGAACAGGAAGAGAACACTCTGGGCTTGCTGTATAAGTGTAACTTCAAAACCAATCCTCTATCTGGATTTCCTAAGCCACTGATACATACTTTCAGTAAAAGTGAGACATTATGCAAATCACAGCTAGTGACTATTACCTGCTACTAATGACTTGGAAACCCATTATATGCTGAATTATATGAATGAAACCCACCTTAGCATTTGGAGTAGCTTTAATTGTCCATATGCAGTCAACTGCTTGTCCTGGTTTTGTTTTTCCTTCTTGTTCTACTTGACTGGAACGTACTATTCCATCAGCTCCTGAGAGCTCAAATTGGCAGTCTAGGGAGAACATACAGCTTGCTGTCAAATGCAATATGACATTAATTTAAAATTTCATGTATAAAGAAATTGTTACTGTAATACTAGACCTGGGATGGGATTTAAAATACCTCCTAGGTAAGTGAAGTCAGGATCTGTAATAGAAAGAAATCATGAATCACAAAGGCTATCAGTGCTTGGGAATTGCTTCAAGGTTTAGTATAATCTGAAGATTATGTCCATTTTTTATTGTGTCATAATAAAAATTGCCAGAAAGTTTACTGAATCGATTGGAGGGTACAGAGACAGATTTTTTTTTTTTCATATGATAACATTATTCCACAAAGATTGACCTTATCTGAATAAGGTAATTCTATAATTTCCAGCATAAGACCAAAAATTACTATTCGCTATGTTGTTCCTACATTACATTCTGAATGTAACTATGCCAGTTTTCACTGAAATCACTTGAGCTCCACAAGAGTACAAGGGATCTGTGTGCATCGATTCTATCAGATTGCGGTCTGTCTAGTTATGAACAATTTGAAGTTTTGTAGAATATATCAACACTTTGAAATTGCTAATTGCTATTAATAAAGAATATGAAGAAGGACAATTCTGTAATAAAAATGCTTTTTCCTTGGGCACCCATGCCTCTTCTGTTAGGTCAGGTAGCACAGTTCTAGACATCGTTTATGAAGGCAGAATTTCACCTTGATTGCTCCTCTATCTTCCCTCTTCTAAATGTGATGTATAGGTGGTGTATGTATCCGTAGTATATACTGTAGTAGTATGCGTACTACTAGCCAGTTGAAATTATACTTTTTCATAATGGTTAACTGATGGTACCTGTCTTTACTGAGACTAGGGCTTGGCTTAAAATGAATCTGTAATGGGCTGGGTCCAAGGCTTACATTTCAGTGATCAGGTTAGTGTTTCCTCACAAATTGGCACAGAAACTCCCAAGATGCACCTATCCACAGCTGTGGTATAGAAAATGACAACAGAAATCACGCAAATCATAGCGTGTCAATGTGTGTGAAATGTTAATCTATGTAAAGAAAGCACTAGCTCATGCAAAAATGCATGCCTGTTTTGTACAAAATTCTTTTCCAAATGGAGTTCCAGAATTTGGCTCTTTCTGTGGTCCTGCAAATGCTTTTCTGCATAGAGAGTTTACTACTTCCCCTAAAATGCCTCAGTCCTGAGCTTAACACTTAGTATTGAGAAAATGCCTTCTTTGCCCTCTGTTTTAGCTGCCCATAGTGAAATCTATGATCACTATATGCAAAATTCTGCAAGAGACTTTTCAACCTTCTTTGTGAACTGATTTTTTTTATGAAGTAGGGGTGTATGTGCATGTCCTCTTCCATTTTCACAATCCTAAAATATTTTACCACATTCTATGTAAATGTAGAGGAAAGAAAATGAAAGAAAAATATCAGTCCTTCGGTTGCTCTAATCTGTTGTGAAAATATTACACAGTTTACATGTATATTGAAAGTTCCAGCCTGGAAGTAGGCTAAGTTAGTTTTGAAAGTGATGTTAATGAAATGGCTTTGGAAATGGACTTACCAAAATGCATAACTACTGTCCCTGTGAAAACCTTTTAGCATGTTTTTCAGAGTGGACTGGTCACTGTGTTAGTCTGAAGAGTTTCCAAGTCTAAATCCCTAGTAAGGTCTGCAGTTCTATAAGCAGTAACATATAATTGTGTGTACCATTTCCATGTGCTGCAGGGTTAAAGGCCAGTTGGGTAAAGATGACATTAAAAAGCTATGCCTGTGTATACATTTATAGTAGTAGTAGAGCTGACATTTGTATACTGTCTTTTGTCCCAAAGGACAATAAAATGCTGATAACTACACATTTAGTATCTATGAAGTACAGCAGTCAAGCATTGCACAAGGGCATCAGGTCAAATTTTCTTGTAAAAAGAATGCCCTGCCAGCTTTAAGTGGCCCCACAGAGCAGATGTACTTTTTGTTTGTCTATCATCTCCCTCATACCCTGTAAACTAACACTGTATTTTGAGCAAAGAACAATTCTGTTTTCTGAGCCTGTGGTTTAAGGGCATCTAGTTATACTGAGAGCTGATGTTTGGACTGTACAGATATTTTCTCTGGCTTTTTGGAATGGAGATTTAAAATGTTTTGGATCTGGTTGGAAGTGCTATTGTAGATTTGCTTCAGGTGTTCTTGTCATAGTAGCTTATATTCCTGGAAGATAGGCTGTTGAAAATGCCAGCTATTTGTCTACACAAATGCTCCTTCCATTACTACCACTGGTGAAACTGGTACAAGTTAGACTAACAAAGAGGGAAGCTGACAAACCCTTCAGCATGAACAAGAGATCAACTGACTTCTTCACTAGCAAACTACAGACCTGTAAGTCCCTTCAGTCAATTTTCCAAAGTGGTTTTAGTCAAGTATGCTGTAGGATTAGCAGGACTGAGACTGTAACTATCGCACTGTCACTTTGCCTTCATAAGCACTTATGAAACACAGCTCTAGGCTGCCAGCGTAAACACATCCACAGGGTCCAAGGGGAGCAGATGGTCACTAACTCAGTCAGAATTTTAGGCATCTTTACCTGGTATAAATGAATACTTTGCTTGAAATCCCTTTCCTTCCAGCTCCTCATCAGAAGTAAACTTGATCCACATAAATCTCCCTGTTGATCTAATTAGTGCAGGACTTTTCAGACCACAGTAACGATTAATGAGAGGGGAGAAACCGAAAGGTCCATCTCGAACCTCCAGATGATCAAACCGACATTCAAATGAGGGTTCTATGTAATAAGGTTCATCAAAGGTCAACTCAATTCTTTGTCGTGGAGCAGCTAGACATAAAAAAAATCAAGCAAAAGATTAAATGAAGGTCTATATAGAAAACCCACATGAATACATAAAATAATGAAGAGAGAGACCTCCAAAACAGCAAGATAAAAAAAGGGACTATAAACTTCTCAAAAGACATCTGTCAGTCAGCTACAAAAACTCAGATACACTGCAATAAAAATTTTAAAAATGATTGTGTAGAAGATACTTTTTAAGGGAATTTTATGGAATTTTTTTGCTTGCTGATCTTTATGGCTGAACATTCAGAAATTATGTAAATCTAATGCAGCACACGTAACAGATATTAACATATATGCAAAGGTATTCAAACAAGTTTTAATATTAAGATATCAATTAAAACCAGTGTTTTGTGAAAGCAAAGTACATAAAAAATGACAGAACATTGAGAGATGCAGAAAAGAATGGAAAAGAAAAATATATGAAGAACTACTCACTGGTGTATTTCCTAAGCATTAAACCCAAATTTGCAGATCCTTTGGCAGGAAACATCTTTTATTAGGATATTCAGAGAAGTGTAAGTGCTTATTATTAATATGCAGGTGACTGCAGATGTTGGTCAGCCTGAACCAGTGACAGCCTAACATCAGGATTTGGATCAAGCACCTACATTCTGATGAGATGCAGCTATGGCTACTTTGTGACTGGACTTTCACATCTGTAGTTTGGAACTGTGACTTCATCTTGTATGAATAGCTTTAGTGTTTCTTGTCATCTATTGAGCTATGTGAACTCTCAGATACTAACTGGTATCTGGAATGACAGCATTAAAAAAAACCATCACATGCTGTCTATTTCTTCTGAATGCAAAAAGGATTTACTCATATGTCTCTAACACTCTGTTTAGACCTTATGCCTTACTTACACATGAGCTAAAAGCATTTGTAGCTGTTTGCACGTGTTGGCAGTGTTCTGCAGGAAGACCATATCTTAGCCAGAAATTGTGGAGGGCCTTTGTCTCACCCGGGTACCCATGTTTCTGTATAAGGACAGTGAGGACAGAGGTGTGGAAAAGGATTCCGTGCCCCATGGAAACTGCCTTGTGCAAGGGAGATCCAGCAATGGACCTGGTATGTCTGAACTCTGAAGCTGGACAAGATACCTGCTCTCCAGTCCCTTTGCTGGCAGGGAAGCTGCAAAACTTCACATGTGCATGTACACAAGTGAAAACGAGGGTATCTGTGAACCAGTACTATACTGTACAAATAAAAACTCGCTGAAACATGTTACTTGAAATATTTCAATTAACTGATATGAATCTGATGATTAAGCTGACTGACGTTTTTAGCTGACTCCAGTGGGTTTTGGGTGCATTCTAGTAAAAGGAGAAAATAATGAGTGTGTCCTAAGACTTGCAGCCTTTATCCAAGACATTCTCATTGGAATGTGGTTTTATCCTAGTTAATGAAATTTTTTTTGTCCTCATAATGTAATTTTAATAGTGATCTCAGCAGCGCTAACAAATCTTCATCTTTTTCATACAGTGCTACGGCAGTCACATGTGTCCTTTCTATTAATAAAGGACAGCATAAAGATTTTCTGCTTGTGAGAGACAGAATATAGTCTTCAACCATCTTCTACAGTTTATTATCAGCAATATCGGAAGTGATATTACAATAACAAGCTACAATTTTTATCTTAACAGTTCTGTGCCTTCATCAATTACAGTAGATCTGATGCTGCTTTTCTGGCTGTGAGGAGAATGTCTTATTCCATATAGCTAATTCCTGAACGTTTGCATTTTCTATTAATTTGTTATTATTCAGAGAGCAAATTTAGCTGCTTGTTCAACCAGATGGCTGCAGAATTGGTTATATTACTAGTATAACTATACAATACTTGACAGTATAGTAAAATGGCTGAGTTTTAACAGTCCAAGATTATCCATTTAACAGTAAGATTACACCATAACAAAACACAAATACAGCATGTACCTTCTAAGATATAGATGCACTCTTGATTTGGTGGGTACATGTTGGGGTAGTTTGGTGAAGCAAAATGTCCTCCATTACTTGTCCGTACCCAATTGTCACACTGGGTAGGAGTAATGCGATTCAGTCCAATATTTTGCCCACCTTAAGTGGAAAAAGAAGTGATCAAATGAGTTTCTTCTGTAAGCGTGCAAATTTGATTTTGCAAAAGTAAAACACTGACATACATATCCTATAAAAGAAGAAATTAATTTTGGTTGAAAACCCTCTAATATGCTGTTTGTTAATATCTAGCTAGGAAAATCTTAGGTTTAATTTAGTGATCCTAATGAAATCAGTTTTTGAATATCAAATACGTCCAGTAATCCTTTGGGGGGGAAAAGAGGGAGTAGGCTTTTTTTCACCCAAGTCACTTTAGAATTTTTGATGCCTTCTTTCTAAATCAAACAGTCACAGTGGCTGTCCATAAGGCAGTGTTATTTTATGGCTTATGTCTTCTCCATTCCTATGCAAATACAATCCAAAATATTTGTTAGCTTTTACTATTTTTGGCCCTGCTTCCAGAGTATACTAAAGTACATGGCTCTTAGATTGAATATCTATTTACAATAATTTGTTGGAATACAAAATGCTTATAACAGAATGAATTATAATCTGTAAATACACTTAATACAGTAATGGGAGTTAATAAAATTACTAGCAAGAGGTAGATCGCACTGGTAGCTAAGGGTCTCATTTAACATCAAAGGTCTTTTTCTTGGTGTACAGGGAAATATGATCCTTGACTGAGATTATGCAGTTTACTAAACTAGCGCACCATACTAGACCATTTGCAGGAGCTTTGTTAGTTCACATGTCCTTATCCAAGGAGAAAGGATTTGGGAATAGTATGATCTCTCTGATATTCTTCTTAAGTACCTTTGACCTTTCCCCTTGGTATCAGCAGAACTGGAGATAATAAGACACAGGATATGTTGTTTCTGCTAGATTTTTCCTAAATCTCACAGGGTGCTCTTATAATGCTTTTTATATTTATGCAGTTTTTCTCTGCAGGCCTTTGAAAGGGAGCCCATGCTGCTACAGGTCTTAGCTGACTCCAGTAAATTGCATCACCTTCTACTGGTATCTTGGCAGCTTTTTGATTTATGGGGGTGAAAATTTAGTCTCTTCTGCAGAAGTTGTTCAAAGAAATCCTGTAGGTGTCAGTTCAAGGAATTCTTCTCTTCTATGTGTGGATTAATCCCACATATGAGAAAATAAGGTTTGTGAAACTGATGCCTTCCTCGCTCAGTGGGCTTCAAAAATGTTTGTGGGCGGACTATTTGAAAAGCTTGTTGTCAGATACAGAGAACATGAATTCCTGTGGTGGTTTTTTTGCCACCTGTGAGATCTAAAACCATAGAATGTCCATGTTCTTTGTGACTGGATGTTTTTGTTCCGTTGGAAAAAAATGCAGTAAATAGGGGGAAAATGGAAAAAACTGGAACTCATCTTAATAATTCAAGAGATATTTAATACCTGAACACAAATACTTTCTTTCAGTTATAGTGCTTAATTAAAAATCATCAAACTGTTACATTTTTTTGAAAGAAAAGCATCAAGCCAAAATCATACCTTGTGTCTTCTGTGCAACGGCAATCCCTTCCACTACAAGGACTGTTACTAGCAACACTGATGAGAGAAATTAGACAGCAAATATGTCAGTAATTCATCAGGATTATAGGCCATTTTCTGCAGTCGTGATTCACGTAAATCCTAGAATCACTAACCACAACAACTCAGAACATACAAAACACATAATTCATTTATATGCTTTCTTAAAATTTCAACTTTAGAAAACCAGTGTAGTCTAAATGCACTGTCAGTTCTTCTTCCAGGTTCCTTAAGAAAGCATACATGAGAATAGCAATTTATTGTTTGAGGGGGTTTTAAGAATATTTTCTAGATTATCTATTGATTTGCAAGCATTTTATAAAATTAAATGGTATCTATCTTCTATATAACTTTTATATCCTGAAGTTAGAAGTTTCACTGCTATATTGAAACATATTTACCCTAAAGCTCCGTATGTATAACATGTACAAAAGACTTCTCCAGCTTCCGAGAAATCAACTGGGACCACAGGAGATCCTGCATGATCTCATCCCTACAAGGATTCAGGAGCACTACAGAACTGTGCTTACAAGACTGGTACTTGTGATGCTGGCACAACACCAGTGATTTCTGCAAATGATGTGGCAGCAAAAAATGAGCAGATACATGTTCTAACAATGGAGAGACTTACTCTGAGCAGTGACAACAGCTAGCTTGTGGACACTGTTAGGATGTACACTGTTGCAAGCACTCTGGTTTGCTGAAGTGTTGTGTTAGTCTCAGGTGTTGGTACGTGCTGGCATTTTCTAGATTTGACTTGACTAAATATTGGACCCACTAAAGGTTTTGTTATACTCTTTTTCCCAGCCCTCCTTCTCCTTCCTTCCTCCCTTCCCTAAAAAGAAGCTGTCTAGATGGTTTTGCTTTGGCTTTTCCCTTATGTTTATGTTTTCACTGCCCCCAAGAAGTGTCAATCTGAACAGCACATATTAAAGATTCCATGTTCCACTGTTTTAAACCAGGCTTAATGTCCAGGTTTTCTTAAAATGCTTTGTCTACTTCAAATTGTTAGGGATTACCAGAAAGGGAAAAGAGAATGAAATGGAGTACATAATTATGCCACCCTTCAAATATTCCATTTGCTTCCATCTTGAGTATCTTTAAAATTCTGGACGTGTATCTTACAGAAGTAGCTGAGCAGGCTAGGACTGCCTTGGACAGAAGCTGGCTGAGGGAAGATAGGATACAAGTTATAGAATCACGAGTGTCATTGGGATGCTGAATAGAGAGCAACTACTTTTTGTCTCTTCCAATACAAGAACCAGTGGGTACCAGACAAAGTTAGCAGGCAGCATGTTCATAGTAAATGAAGATTTTTTTTTTTTTAATGCACATACTTCATAATGCATCCTTAATGTGTTACGAACATTCTGTTTCAGGAACTCCTTAAGCCGTAAGTCGTTAGAAGTCTGAGATAATATTTGGGACAAATATAATCTGCTCTACTTTTATATTCTTTCTGAGACCTCTGCTTTTATCTCTGTGAAAGAAGATACCAGGTTAAATGGACCTTAGATTTGACCTGGTATGGCCTTTCTCATGTTCTTAGTGTCTTGTTAATACCAAGTCAGATAGGCACAGCCTCACCACTGCAGGAAAAAAAATTTTTGAATTTTACTGTCACACTCAAGAAGCTAATTTTATTTTCCCTTCTTGTTGCTCAGGCATTTTAGTGGCTCATGCTGAAATGGCACTTTTTCTATCTGTGATTTTTCCTGTGTTGCTGTTAGACTTTCAGCCCTTTAGAGAGTTCCAGAGTGAGCACGCACTGACTGTGAACTATTGTGATCTTGACTGAACTTATCTAGGTGTTACTGTAACGCTGGCATAGATATATTATCTTGGGGAAAGACAAAAGGAATCAAAGTCTGCCCCTGAAAGTGTCCACATCTAGCACTTGTATTTTATTATGTATGTTTCTGCTGCCCTTCCTTCTCTCCACCCATATTAAAATAGATGGTATATAATTATGAGACTTTCCATACCAATAACCGCTTTTTTCCTTGTAAGTTGAGTTCACAACTGTGGGTGTTCTAAAATACCATATGGGTCTTGCAAACAAGTGTTATATTCCTAGAAGCTTATTTGATTTTTAGGGACGGATTATGAGATAGTAGGTTGAAACTTAGTTTTGCAACTTCCATCTTTGCAAGAATTCTGTACTTTCATCAGTATTCATATACTGAAAATATAATTGCTAACTTTCATTATCCCATTACAAAGTATCAATCATTAATCATTGCTGACTCACTCTAGATTGAAAATTCCTCCTTCAGAAGAAAGTATCTAGTACCCATTACTGGTCTTCAAGTTACGGATGTTCACTAGTCTTTAAAGCAAATAAAATAAACTAATATCCCATCTTTATTAACAAATGATTGACAATAGTTTTCAGATATTTTTTAGGTTTTAGTATTTCTTATATAGATGCTACATCAAAATATTTGTCAGTTTATTCTCGTGGCTTCTGTGTTTAAACTGCGCACTCAAAGATCTGCACTTAAGTGCATGAACTTATAAAGTTATTTGTACTCCTGAGATCGCTTGTCCCCAACAGAGAATCTTGATAATGGTTATAGAGTTGTCTATGTATTTTCTTTGGTGGTTTTTTTTTTTGTTTTTTTTTTTTTTTTAAACTGGTTTTGGAGCAACACTTCAAAGTTGGCTTGTGTCATCAAAGTAAACGCAGTTTCCACAATCCTATATCAATCATGTGTCAGTATGGTCTTCTACTGAATTGTAGAAGAATTTCTTAAACATGTGCTACGCCTACCCTATATTCTGCAAGGACATGGCAATCTCTTCATAACTTCTTGTGCTGCTTCTTAAAAGGCAAAGTGGGCTTTTATTTTTTTCTTAAAGCCAAACACAGAAATATGAGTAAGATAAATACTTCATGACTAACAAAATTAATATAGATAGTCACCTTCAAGTAACAGTGGGACATTGGGAGTTTGTTCTTTTGTTTTGGGTTTTTTTTAGTATAGATATCTACTATGGCTAACACTATTACAGTATACTTTTTTTCTTCCTTCTTTACCTTGAAAGTATCAGTAAGCATCTATTCTTATTGCAGTCATTGTGCTCTCTTGTACAGACAGAGACAACATAAGAACAGATGTTTAGTTATACTAACCAGTGATTTCCCTTCTTGAAATGATGCAGATACAGAAAGAAGCCTCCTAAAGGGACTTCAGAAAATGTGACTGGCTTTCACTAAAGCCTGTGCTGTTTCTATAAATATTCCACATCTGTGTATGCGTGTGTAAGTGCAAAAGAACAGTGCATATTTCCTGCAGAACAGCATGGATATGCAGGCAACTACAGAAGATAAATGGGCTGAATATTTGTCTTACTGACTTCCTTTTGTCATGTTATATGGTTGAGTGGATACAGTAAGTATGGGCCACCTTCTCTTTGTTCCCTGCCCTCTTCATCCTCTTCATTTTTAATCTCTTCCATCTCTTGTCTCTCCCTGGCAATGGCTATCCTTCTCATGCTCTCAACAACCCTTAAGATGTATGCAAAGCAGCCTAGTTAGCAAATGTTTAAGGGCCTTCCTTTGCCATTACTTTTATCTCGGGTGATAGTATGATAAAGAAAAGAGGTGTCTCCGACTAATACTCTGTATGTGTGCTGTTCTTACCTCTGTGACATTTTTAGCAAAAAGGGGGAGAGAGCACTTACATCTGTTCTTCCTCAGAGTACTGAGCAGGGATCTGAGGTAGTATTGCCTTAAACTGTGTGCGTTTACGTGACACAGTATAATGTGGGATAGCAAACAGGAGTTTTTTGGCTGGAAACAAGGCCAATGAATGTTCAGGATGAAAGGAAAAGAAAGAAGGAAAAAAATCAGTCAGGATATTTTTAGACCTTTTAGACTGCTTCCATTAACCCATTTTTGTGTGCATTTTGAAAACAACAAAGCAATCACTTGGTGTCCTAAATCTATACCACTTCCTGGAAGAATATTTTTGAATCTCAAAGACTAATTTGGACCATACAAGTCAGTAAGAAGGAAGAAAGATGTCTAGAGAAGAGACAGATCCTGTAGGATGGTGCAGTGGAGAGCTAGTGCTGAACCAGTGTCCTAGTACGGCATGTGGGGACACAGTAATTAGAACACACATGAGAAACCAAATTACTTTCTCTAAAAATCTTGTAGCACTTCCAGAAGGATGAAGAATGATCTTGTTATTTCTGATAAACTGAAATTCAAACAGTTATCATGCACCTGAACTTGCAATGGGACACAACATTCCTCTGCTCCCCTTTTTTTCAGTCTATTACATATCACTGTGACATAACTGCTCTTCAGTGTGGATGAAAGATTAACTGTAGACTTCGCTCCATATTCTATTATGGTACAGGAAGCAGAAGTAAGTATCTAAAAATGCCACTCGAACATGGCTTGCTGCTGTAAGCAACAGCACAGACAGTGCAGGATTGCATGACTGCACTGAATGTCAAAGGGATAGAAGGGGTGCGTTTGATTGTTTTGTTTTTAATGGAGGAGTGTGGTGAGAATTCTTCTAGAGACACTGAAATATGGGAGACTGACCTTATAACCTTAGAAATATTTACTTGGTAAACATAACAGAGGTTAGTGCTTCTGCACCTTATATATGATACGTACACTGTAGAAGAGGCTATTGTTAAGCCAACAGCACCACAGCTCCATTAAGAGGGGTCTTCTCTTACGAAGCTGGTGTTTGCTACAGACTTTTATTCCATGAGTTATGGTGCATACTTTTGTACTATCATTTAAAGCTCTAATAGTTTTTACCTGTGTGAACATTAACTAGAAATAAAGAAAAAGCAGCAAGTTCTATCTCTGTTTTTTAAAGAACAGATTTTTCATTTTCTTCACTTTTTTCATAAAATTGTAGATCACACAGCCTGCAGACAGCTGTATAAATTTTTAAGAGTGAGGATACTAACCATACATTGCAAATTGTTTTTACTATTCCATTGTTGAAATAAGTTTATGGAATAATATAAAAAACTCTCCTGAACTG